GATCATAGCCCTTTCGCCTTCCACATGGGGCAGTGATAATTTTATGCCCTAACTTTGATCAATTATCAATATGTGCTGTAGTTAAAAAGTCACGACTGAACTTCTTTTAAACATCTGAAGCAACTGAATTAACTTTTTATCTTGTGAAACATCTCAGTGGTATGACTCAAATGCTTGATTGTACCACTTTTATTCTTAAGAATTCCTGTTTGTAAGGATCACACTGGCTTGGAAATGTTAGAAGAATAGTTTTCATGTGACACAAAGAGCAAAAACACAGCCAACATTTACTATAAAAACTGTTTATCACATTATACATTCCATTTTCTTGACAGTATCACATTCAGTCAGCTTCACTTCAGCCCCATGTAGGGAAAAATAGGTACACWGCTCAAAATTACATTCACGACACATGATACAGGGACAGCCCTACAATGGGYGCACACATTGTGTTTTTCACATCTTCATGCTGAGGTTGAAGCACAGCCGGTTATATCTTTGAGACCGACGCTGACTTACTGAGTCAGACAACAAAACAAACACGTTTAAACTGAGATGGTTTTTTTAAACCAGTTTGAAGTCTTCACCATGGAGAAAATTCATACATTCAATTTTTTATTCTTATATACAATGATGTATTTGTGAATCCTGATCATATACGACTTCTAAATAAGACAAAAATGACATGGAAGTGTAAAAAACACAATCTTTGCTCAGAACTGAGCCTTTACGTACCACAAATTAGTCTTGATGGATGGGTTTCCTAACATAAGTACTTTGAGTTTCTTTATAACATTGTGAGATTAACATCAGCATCTCTGGAGACTGAATTCAAACTCGGATGTCCAAACTTTTTCCTTTAAACTCTGGCAGTGTGACGGAGAACTTATCAACACTTATAATCAGAACAAGCCRTACCCAGATAGTACCCTGCAGGCCCGAACGATGACATTCATGTTSTTGAGCTTCTAAACCCAGTGATCCTCATTTAAACAAAAAAGTGTTTTTTTTAACTAACAAGGTAAATGGTCCACGAATTATATACAGTTTTTTTAACATCTCCAGATTCAGGCAAAGCACTCATACAGAGCTTTCATTTAAATATTTTTACAGGCTATATACAACACTTCTATTAAATTCTACCTCATACTGCAACGAACAGATTGATGGGCAGCGGGGACAGTGTCTTGCCCAAAAGCAAGTCGGTACACTGAAGGAGTTGGGAATCAAATTCCCAGTCTTCCAATCAGAACATGGCTATAGGTCAGCCATGGCAGATCTTTAAGAAACTGCAGACAGGCAATAGTGCTCTTGTTTGAGAGAAGATGTGTTTTTCTCTTTACACCTGAAACACAGTTGTTGTTTATAGCTATTTCTGATTTGTATTCATAAACTTTAAAACTAGGCAACCAAAGCGATGGGTTCTTCCCTTCTGTCTTTGGACCCCCTTGGTCCACCACYTTATTTAAACATTTTTCGACTATGAATTTCAGCAGCTTTGTTATGTTCTTATAATTTATTGGCTATTTGTAAAACATTATTGCCAGATTTCTTATTTTACAGCTGATGAGAAACAGCGGAGTCATTACTCAGTTCACTGAAGCTGGTCCTTACAAAATATATGAGTTTCTGGTCAGCAAATTTATGGCTGCGACAACTGCTCCATGGTCCCCACTTGGTGGTGCTACACTTGTATCACAAAGTACTGTGCATGGGAATTCTAACATGCTTATAATTTTTGTTCAATAACGTCTCCAGTGTATTTCMCTCATAGATCTCCTGTGATTCTGATTTGTGAGTCTGTAAAGAGGGCGAGCCACGCACTGATAACGTCTATACAATGATAACATTAGTGACCATGTGTGTGGTTAGCTTGTGCCCAGTCCTGGTCCTTGAGGGCTGTAATTCTGCATTTTTTTTCCAAGTTTTTTTTCTGCTTTGACACACCTGGTTTGAATAAATGAGCAATTAGCAGGATTCTGCAGAATTTAAAGACATGTTGAAGAGCAGGGGGGACGGGTAAAACATACAGGATAGTGGCCCTCGAGTACCAGGCTTGAGAAACAAACTGTCTCAGACAGACCCCCCACACCCACACACACACACACACACACACACACACACACACACACACACACNCACACACACACACACACACACACACACCCAAAGCCTTGGCCACCCTCATGCCACCACTTCCATAAAAGTCTTGTTCCGCCACCAGGTTAACTTTTATTAGTAATATACACTCAGTATGCTGGAGATGGGCACCAGTGACCCACGCAACCCTGAAAAGGAAGAAGCGTGTACAAAAAATGGATGGATGGATATACTCAGTATATTTCTCTGCATTCAAACACTAACATGTTCACTATGATAGAATGACGTGTGTGTATGTGTGTGTGTGACTGGTTTAAGATAATACTGAACAACAGAAGTGAAAATAAAAGTTTATTACTGCAGCTATCACAGTGATTGCTTGCAGCCATGTTGGATTTTGAAGATGACCACGAATCTCACTTTCCTAGAAGAAATTCAGACTTTTGGGGGCGTTCCAGTTTATTTTTATGATTTGGAACTCAGAAATTCCTATTTCCTAGTAAAATCTGACTAATTATCTAGCCAACCATAGCTCCTCAGGCTCCCAGTGTTACTTCACAACAACCAGATAAGCATATTCTGCACAAAAACATGTTTACTGAACTGAGCTTCTCTAATTGCCAGTTTCGTTCATGTCTTCCATTTATGTGTGATTTGTTAAAACAAATCACAACACCTATTAAAACAGCCTGTTTCTCTGATTTTGGCTGCACCGACTTTGCATTTAACCTTGAAATTTATGATTAAATTAAAATTTGAAAAAAAAWTTTCAAATGAACACCTGAAATAAACAAGATGACTCAGCAAATTCACTGTTGTTCTCTCATACTCTTCATGTGAAGCTGTGCATCTTAATTAAAATAATTTTAAATAAATAATCTTAATATAAGCCTTTTAGCAACAGGTTGCATTGCATCACATCTGACCTTCAGAACCTCACACCAGCTCGTGCCTAAGGCAGAAAAGACATTTCTAAAAGATTCACAGACGTCTCTCATTAAAGAGGCCTGTGTTGCACTCTGACAGTATCCATAGTAGCAGTTTTCACTGAGTCGGAGCTTCTTCCCTGTTTGGGATTACACATAGAAACACCAGAGATATTTGTTTCATATTTGTTTAGAGCTGCAAACACTGAGATCTTCACTTCCTTTACCATCCAAATTTATCCATTTGGGTGACGCACCTTCTCTTTTAAACAACAACAACAAMAWAATAATAATAATGAGAYTGTCCCTCAGACAGTAACACCATKTCTCAGTTCTTCCTCCTTTACGTCTTTTCAACAGTTTTTCTCAGGTTGTTGGAGGGGGCCGGCGTCCCAGCGGACGGAACGGAAAGTGCTTCCCCTGAAGCTGACCTGCTTTTTGGTGATGCGGTAGATTTTTCTGAGGATGGCCCGACGCAGCAGGATGTAGACCCACGGGTCCAGGATCTGATTCCAGGTTGCCATCCTGACGCCGGTCATCATGAGCTTGCTGTACATGCAGGTGTCCTCAACACTCTGCTGAGATTTTAGGAAGGAGCGTGTGGCTGAAATCAGTCCAAAGACCTGAAAAAGTATATACTGTTGTTATTCTCTTGTAATGAAAATATTATGAACAATTAACATCTTACCTGTCGTAGATGGTTCTTTATACAAATAGAATCGGACAAATAGAATTGAATTCTGACCTGAATGATGAGCTACAGGCTAATTTGAACATAGCTAAAGTGCTTGCTGCAGACTTAGAACACCTCCAACCTCAAAACTTTCCACACCAGTTTACGTAAACCCGATTTCTAAACTTTTTCAGTGCATTTCATACACATGAAAAGTTCTTATTTGCAAGTGCAGGTAGCAGCAGAATAGCAGGGTTTTCACAGTATTTCTGCTAAAATACCAGTGTAAATGCAAAATAAACAATAGTGGAAAAGATTAGAAAATACTGTTTCCATGAATCTGAATTTAACTTTGTTGTACGGCCCGAGTCAAAATAGCATTATTAGCTCATCATAACAGTTCAAGAGGGGTCGCTTACAAAGTGGATTACAGACTGATGTTTTTTTTTTTTCTTAACGTCTGATGTTGGTGGTTACYCTGACAAAAATATTGTAATATTTCAGCAGAAAGTGCTACAGCTAGCTGCTGCTGTCACTGTGCTGGCATATTTCAAATTTGACAATTTATTTTTCAAATTTCCCCGTTTTCAAAATTTCTTCTTTCATGAACTAACCTTTTTTTTGGCCAAAAGTGTCTTATTACACAATAGATTAATCAAATTTAAACAAATCAGTGTTAAAATGTTTAAAACTCATTGACATGTGTCAAGTTTGACACCCGCCCCCCTTTCCCATTAAAAAGTGTTTTGGTTCTGCAGAGTATTCAATGTTTTTTAAAGTGCTWAAAAATCTGCCTGTAAATAACTTATGAATACAAATAATTTCAGTCTTTTTCTAAAATATATTTTGTACAAAAAAAAAAGAGTCTATCGATCAGTTCTCAGTATGCTGCTTCAACATGGACTTAGACCAGAGGTCAAAACAGACCTCCTTTTCTTTCTTTCTTTCTTTCTTTCTTTCTTTCTTTCTTTCTTTCTTTCTTTCTTTCTTTCTTTCTTTCT